TCTGGGCTACAAGGGCGCAGTGCTGGCTCATGTCCAGCTGCCATCCCTCAGTACCCCCAAGTCATTTCCAGCAGGGCTGTGCTCCATTGTTTCATTCCCCAGCTTGTATCGGTAGGGAGGATTGCCTCAACCCAGCTGCATATCTCGCACTTGGCTCTGTTAAACTTACAAGGTTCTACTGGAGTCACTTCTCTCTGTCCAAGTCATGATGAAACTTCCTGTGTTCTAGTTTGTGCCCATTACTCCTTGTCCTGCTGCAGGACACCACCAAAAAGGGCCTGGCCCCATCCTCTTCACACTCTCCCTTTAGAAATTTATAATTGTTTATAAGATCCCCTCTCAGCCTTCTCTTCTTCAGGTGGAACAGCCCCAGGTCTCAGCCTTTCCTCATAAGGGAGATGTCACAGGCCCCTCATCATCTTTGTGGCCCTCCACTGGCCTCTCTCCAGCAATTCCCTGTCTGCTTCAAACCAGGAGCCCAGAACTGAATGCAGTGCTCCAGGTGTGGCCTCCCTGGGGCAGAGCAGAGGGGTGGGAGAACCTCCCTCATCCTGCTAACCATGCTCTGTGCATGGTATTGCCCTTCTTGGCCACAAGGACACACTGCTGGCTCACAGCCAACCTGTTGGCCTCCAGGACACCCAGGTCCTTGTCTGCAGAGCTCCCTGCCAGCAGGTCAGCCCCTAACTCTAACCTGTACTGTTGCGTGTGATTATTCCTCCCTAGGTGTAAGAGCCCTACGATTGCCCTTGTTGAACCTCATTTTCCTCTTACCCCCCAGCTCTCAGCCTGTCCAGGTCATGTTGAATGGCAGCACAGCGTTCTGGTGGGTCAGCCACTTCACTCAGCTTTGCACCATCAGCAAAGCTGCTGACAGTCATCTAATTGATTGTCAGTGATCCTCTGTCAGCATCTTTGGGAACCAAAGCAACCACAGTAACTGTTGGCCTTTACTGTAGGAGTGCAGCATAGAGATGTGTCTCAGCTGCCAAATGATTCTTGTGAGGTTTCCAAGCTCTTGGAGACAGTTCCCACCTTGCAAGTGCCTAAAGAAATGGGTGATCAGTGAGAGCTTTGTCTTTCCCAAGGGAGACTGCAGCTGTGCCTCTCATTAAACCCCTTTTTTGCAGACTTGTGTGCTGTTTGTACAGTTCATAGAAGCTATCGTGGTGTTGGTGCGCCAGACCTCGCACGTCCGCATAACGAGAGCTCTGCGCTGTATCTTCCTGGTGGACTGCCGCTACTGCGGGGCAGTCAGGAGGTGAGTGGTCAGGCCCCTGGGTTCCCTGCTCTTGTGGAGGAGGTGGTGAAGGAAAAGCATGCTGGTCCTGCAGGCAGGCAGCTTGGGGAAGAGAGGTGTCTTTCGTGTGCAGTTCAGTTCTCAGCAGTCTTCTGTAATTGAGATTGAAATGTCCCTGCTGCCTTGCCTGTATAGGGAAATTTCATAGGTAGTAACTTTGGCTCTAGTTGCAGAACACAAGCTGATGTGTGCTGTCCTCATCAGCATAAGCTGCCTCATGGAGCACAGCATGTGAGTGGGGATGCCTTGCCTCTGGCTCCTACGTTTGCCTTTTAAACTGCTCAGTGCATTACAGAGGTGATGTCTTGAGTCTGGAGAAAGAAAGCTGACAGTGGTAGTCATCACTTGCAGTACCCAAGCTGACTGCAAAGGGGAAGAAAAGTAGCTTGGAGTCAGTCTACCTTGCTATTTTTAATCCTTGGAGGAGGAGTGGGAGGAAGGTAATTCTCAAGTGTGTTTTGTTGTTTTTTTTATCAAATAGAGGATAAAATATGCAAGTTTTAGTTTATTGATGTTTTTTCCATTTCCAGAAACCTGCGTCAGATCTTTCAGTCCCTCCCACCATTTATTGACATTCTTCTCCTTCTGCTTTTCTTCATGGTGATCTTTGCCATCCTGGGTGAGTTGTATTTATGGAAGTATGTGTTTTTGATGCTCTGTCAACTTCAGTAAGTTTAGTCTGGACTTCCATGAAGCATACCAGTTACAGTCCTATCTTCAAAATATTTGTTTTCCTAAAAGATCAGTGAAATGTCACTTGTTAATATGTCTCAGTAAATATGAAGAAGACTTCCCAGATATTTGAGGAAAGTGGGCCTGGCAAAGAGTAGAGTCAAGACCCTGAACTTCAGGAGAGCAAACTTGCAGCTCTTTAAAGAAATTATAGAATAAGATCACCTGGGAAAGTGTCTTCAGGGACGTAGGAATGGAGTAGAGATGACAGTTCTTTATGAACACCTTTCTGAGACCACAAGAGCTCTCCACCCCCTGCATAAGAAATCAAGCAGGAGAGGTGGGAAACAGCATGGCTAGGCAAGAACCTGCTGATCAAGGAAAAGGAAAAGTACAGGCAGTGGAAGCAGAGATGGGTGGCCTGGGCAGAGTACAGGTTGCCTAGTTGTGGATACTCCATCCCTGGAGGCATTCAAAGACAGGCTGGATGGGATCCTGGGCTGCCTGATCTAGTGGTTGGCATCCCAGCCCACAGACTGGAACTAGATGATCTTGAAGGTTCCCTCCAAACTAAGCCATTCTGTGATTCTTTGCCTCTTGGATATTCAGGGATGGGACCAGGGAAGCCAAGGCACAGAGTAGGTTGGATGGTCACATCCAAAGGGTTGTGGTCAGTGGTTCTGTGTCCAGATGGAGGCTGGTCATGAGTGGTATCCCCCTTGTCTTGGGACTGATGCTCTTTAACATCTTTATCCATGACACAGATGACAGGATTGAGTGCACCCTCAACAAGTTTGCTGATGACACCAAGCTGAGTGGTGCAGTTGACACAGTCAGAGGAAGGGATGCCAACCAGGGCATTCTGGGACAGGTTCTAAAAGTGGGCTCATGGGAACTTAATGACATTCAACAAGTCCAAGTTCTGGGTGTTGCACTTGAGTTGGGGCAATCATAAAGTCATAGAATAGCTTGGGTTGGAAGGGACCCCAAGGATCATCGAATTCCAACCCCCCTGCCACAGTCAGGACTGCCAACCTCCAGATCTGGTACTAGACCAGGTTGCTCAGGACCCAATTCAACCTGGTCCTGAATGCCTCCAGGGATTCACAACCTCTCTGGGCAGCCTGTTCCAGCACCTCACCACTCTCCCTGTGAAGAACTTTCCCTTCACATCCAGTCTAAACCTTCCCTCTTTGAGCTTAAAATTCCAGATAAGCGTACAGATAAGTACAGACTGAGAGAAGTCCTCAAGAGCAGCCCTGCTGGGAAGGACTTGGGGGTTCTGGTGGAGGAAAAGCTGGATACGTGCATCAGTGTGCTCTGGCAGCCTTGAAGGCCTGCCTGGGCTGCATCAACAGAGGGGTGGCAGTGGGCAGAGAAGGGATTGTCCGCTTATGCTCTGCCCATGTGGAGTATTGCATCCAGGCCTGGGGCCCCCAGTACAGGAAGAATGCAGAACTATAGGAGCAGGTCCAGAAGAGGATAATGAATGTCCCGGGGGGCTAGAGCACCTCTTCTATGAGGAAAGTCTGAAGGAGCTTGGCTTTTTCATTCTGGAGAAGAAAAGACTCCAGGGAGACCTCACCGTGGTTTTCCAGTGCTTGAACGGAGCTCATCTAAGACAGGAGAAGCCAACTTTTTACATGGTCTGATAGTAACAGAACAAAGGGGAATGGTCTTAAACTAAAACAGGCAATGCTGAGGTTAGATGTTAGGAAGACGTTTTTTACAGAGAGGGTGGCAAGGCACAGGAACAGGCTGCACAGAGAAGCCATGGATGTCCCATCCCTGGAGGAATTCAAGGTCAGGCTGATGGTTCCTGGGCCATCTGATCTAGTGGATGGCAACCTCCTTCCCACAGCATGGGGTTTGGAACTTGATGGTCTTTAAGGTTGCTCCTAACCCAAGCCATTCTATGATATTCTGTGCTCCATGATGCAGGAGAATGGCTTTCTGGTCCTTGGTGTGATTTTGGTCTTTGTGAGCAGAGATACCTTGCTTTCGCTTGAAACTAAACAGACTCCGTGTTTCTTCTCTCTCTTCTTCTCTCTTCTGTTTCTGTAGGTTTTTACTTGTTTTCTCCAAATCACTCGGATCCCGTGAGTGCCACTGAGTCTTTGAATGGGAGCTGAAGTGCTATCTTGTCTAGTTCAAGAATCAAGTATTACCGTATAGATGTGGCTTATTTCTAAATGGTGAACGGGGAGGCCAGACGTTAGCTGGTGCTAGCAATAAAAAGAAGTGCAGAGGCTATGTGTGACAAGGCAGCTGGCAGTTTTACCCAGGGTTGACACCTGCTGGGAAGGAAGACAGTACTCTGAGGAAGCTTCCTCAGAGCCCCAAGGGAGCTTTCATGTAATTGTTCCTTGTATCTTAATTCAGTCAAACAAGCCACTTGCTCCTGTCCCCAGGGAAGGGAGGGATCTGGGTGAAAGATTGACTTTTCTGGACAGTGGTTGTCGAAGTCCACCAGTCCACTTGTTGCTGCTGTGCTGTAAGTCTGTAACTTACTGGGTGTAATTACTACAAAATGTGTAGATTAGCTTTTAATTGTTTTAAGCCTTCGTATGGCACCTTTCGGGGACCTTTAAAAAGGACCAGTGCTAAAGTACCCTCCTACTGGGAGTATGAGGGAACTGTAGAAGTGACTGTATTGAAGTGTTGGTTTTATAGTTTGTTTTTGAATGAAATGTCACTGTGAAATTCTGCTTGCATTTTATCACGAGTATTTTTTCTTTCAGTACTTCAATACCTTGGAGAACAGCCTCGTGAATCTCTTTGTACTTTTGACCACTTCAAAGTAAGTTTGGAGCTAGAAAAGCATCTTTCCTTTTATCCCAAAAGAAATCCTAGCTGAGTTGAGCCTTTATTTGCAGAAATGCTGTCTGCAAATGTAACCACTTCCCTCTGCATGAGAGAGATTTTCCTGGGTTAGCCTGCATGGGAAGGACTGGTATATAACAAAATGGTATTTTGTTTAAGGATGCTGTGACCCCAAATGCAGAGTTATCTCTAGGCCACTCAGGCCTGTTCATCATTGTCAGGGCAACAAGGGCAAGATTGGGCCCTGGTCCAAGGAGAGAAAGTTTCTGTTTTGTACTCCTTTGTTAGATAGCAGTTTATTGTTGTGAAGTAACTTCTTATTCCTCTGCTTCACTTCCCCTATCTAGTAAAAAGGGGATAACAACAGTGAGCAAATACTGACCTGCTATTAGGGAGAGCTCTGAGGATTACAAAATTAGCAAAAGACAGTAAATCTTAGGTTGTCACTCTGTAGTTCTCCTTATAGCAGGGCTGTATTGCTGTCACTGCTACGTGTTACAACCCTTAGCCATGCCACAAATCTTTCTTTGTTTTTTCAGGATTTACAGGAAATTTGCTTTTTCCTTTTCTTTGTACTGTGCCTCCATGTTCTTGCTGCTTATTGCCAGTGCCGTAAGCAGCTGTGATTTGCAAAAAAGTGCAAGTCCATGAATGTGGGTGCACACACAACCTGTTAACTATGTAGTGGAAGCGTAGCATTCCAGTGCTTCAGCTTGTCTTTTGGATACAGCTTCCCTGATGTGATGATGCCATCTTATGCTCGGAACCCTTGGTCGTGTGTCTTCTTCATAGTGTATCTCTCCATTGAGTTGTACTTCATTATGAACTTGGTGAGTACCAACTTATAGCCTTTGACTTCTCTGCCCAAATTTGGAGTTCACTGCCCAACAGGGTCTTTCCTGTTCCCAAAAGCGCTGTATAATAACCTGAGACCCTTTGGCAGAATAATTCCAAAAATGGCAATTTATCTACAGATAGAAGCCTTCTGATATTTGACCATAAGGAAATGAACTAAATCACAGAAAGCAGAATGATATTGAGTATCTTTCAGCTTTCTTCACATTAATATTGTGTTAGGAGTGACATACTCAGTTGTACAAAACGTATTGTCCTTTCCTGTCTTAATTATTCATTGTAAAATGGCTTTTTAATATTTGGACTTTGCTGAAATCCTTTTTAAATCAGTTTGAAAGTGGTGAAATTGCTAAGGATGGCAGGATTTGAAGAGTGCTGACATATGCAGTGTGAGAGTGGCTGCTGTACTTCTGCTTCTTGAACCATCCAAAGCAGGGCTGAAACCAGCTCAGGTAATAATGCGGGAAGTGAAAAAGGGCTTTTCAAAGTTGTTGAGGAATTCTGCAACCCAAGGGAGATGATTTTGATGTCTGGAAGAGGCTTGGATTTCACCATTGCCGTACTAGATGGATTTGACATGTATGCCAGAACTTCTGTGTCAGGGATGAGTCGTGACAGCAGCCCTCAAAACCCACTTTCCAGGAAGACACATGGGCATTTTAGCAAACCTTTTCATATTGCTTTCTGTTAGAATACATGAGGTTTAGCCTTAGCTATGGAAGACAAGTGTAAGTAGTTAAGAGACCAGGCCTTCCCTGAAAAATAAGAAAAGAAAAAAAAAAAGAATTATCACATATGTGATGTGCTCTTTGCCCTTACGATCAGTGACACCTCACTATCTCCGTTCTGCTTCAGCCAACGCAGCACTCTGTAAGATTCCTCTTGCAGGCAATGCCACTCTAGACTGAACGCTCCTGCCTGTTTGAGAAGCACTGACTCAAATTGCTGCAAGAGTAATGAACAAACCGCTCGTCTTCTCTCTGCAGCTTCTTGCTGTTGTGTTTGACACTTTCAATGACATTGAGAAGAGGAAGTTTAAGTCCTTGCTGCTGCACAAGCGCACAGCCATCCAGCATGCCTACCGCTTGCTCATCACCAAACAGGTACAGCGTGCTGCAGGGAGGCTGAGAGCAGCCTGTGCTGTGGCAGGTGGGGAGGTCAGCCTCTGGAGAAAAGGAATTTGAATGCCAGCCCCCACACGGGGCCATGGAGGTACCTCAGTAAAATGAGAGAACTTTGTCCTGGAGCGCATGTGGTCATTGAGTTCTTCCTGTGGGTGACCTGGGGACTTGTCTGCTGAGCACCAGAGCTTAGAGGAGGGGATGTAATACATGTGAAGGCACAGCCCAGCTGCTAGCTGCTGCATGAATAAATGGAGTGCAGACAGAACTAATTCATCTACTAACAATTCTTTAGGGGGGCAGAGTGCTTTGGGAGGGAGTTGGTTTCTTGTTTAACTTATGGAGTGGGAAAAGAAGTCAGGCTCAAGAATAACTCTCTTTTCTCCAGTAAATTGATTCACATTTAGGGCATATTGGTTGTATTGAGGATTTCTGAGGAAGAGCTTGTATAATCAATGAATGTACAGATGTTATAATTATGAAATAACCAAGAGAGTTTGACTAAGCAAGTTATTATACTAGAAAGAGGATAGAGGGCTTACCCTTGTCCTGGGTTCACTGTAGGTCTCCAAAGGACAGATCTGCAGCAGAAACCCTTCCCCACTGGCAGCCAGCTCTTCAATGGTCTGGGAGAGGTGCAGCCAGTCTCCACCCCTTCAGGCAGCACAGCTGAATCGCCATCACTGTGCTCCCAGGGCTGACTCAGTGCTTGCCTCAGGTGGTCAGTCAGAGGTTCAGGCCATGATTCAGCAGTTCCCATACAGGCTTGTAATCTGAAAAAGGTGTCAGTAATAGGGACCTGTTAGGACATCTGATTTCCCAAGAAGAGTGGTTGAACTTTGCTTGGCATGTCTGGTTGAACAGCTCCTAAGGATGGGGGCAACAGAGAACAGCTCTGCATGAACTGGAAGAACCGACTGCTAGGAGAGCTTTCTGTGTTCTGGGATTGTCAGCAGGTTAAAATAAATAGCTTCTGGTGCTTTAGGGGTCAGTTATCATAGCATCCTGCAGTAATACAGAAACCCTGCTTAAAACAAATCCAGAGCAGTAATTGAATATGCTAGTGTGTTTCTGTCTGATGTCCCCACCACAGCATTCCTTTTTGTTTTCCTAGGGGCCACCTGGAATTTCCTTCAGGCATTTTGAAGGGCTGTTGCGGTTTTACAAGCCTCGGATGTGCAGCCGGGAGCGATATCTCACTTTTAAAGCACTGAATCAAGGCAATACTCCTTTACTCAGGTAGGGTTTTTGTTTTTGTGTCCCTTTTCACTTTTTCTTACATTGAAAAGAACATTTTGAAATGTGCTAGAAAAGGGTTATGCAGGTAGTTAAGGCAGTCCAAGACTTCTTCATGGAGAATAGTGCAATCTCTGTCCCTTGGAGCTTGCAGTCTAAGCCTGAGGTCTTTCCCCAGTGGTAGAGTTCCAGAGTTAGCTGTCAGTTTCCTCTGCGGGCTTTAGGTCTTAAAGAAGAAGGTAGCATTGCAAGCCATTCTGAGTATTGTCAGCCAGTAACCTCTGGCCAGACCAGGGAGAGGTCATTGTTGGGTTATCAGCTGTGGCTGCAGTTCTAATAAGGAGTTTGCAGTTTCCAGAGACTCTCTACTGACAATGCCTGACAAGGATGATTAAGGATTTAATCAACTCCAAGGCTCTGATCAGATGTTTCTTTCTATTTTGCAGTCTGAAAGATTTTTACAATTTCTATGAAGTTGTTAGCTTGAAATGGAAGGTAAGTATGTATTGGGTGGAGGATAGGGGAATTGCATGGGGAAAGGAGAGCAAAGGAGGTCAGTGATTTAAGAGAAGGTGGGTAAGAAGGAAAGACAATTGAAAAGCAGATGGTAGGGATAAGGTGGGTCTCCATCACTGCGTGTTTTCTGGGTGGAGGTAGCACTGGTTTATTTTGGTTGTGGCTCTTGTGCTTCCAGGCAAAACGAAATCGTGAGCACTGGTTTGACGACCTTCCACGGACAGCATTCCTTATTTTTAAAGGTAACAAGCTGTGTTTAAATGACAGCATGTGTTGAAATAATAAGAAAAGTATTTCTATACCAAGAAAAGATGCTCTGAAAGAGCTTCCTTGCTTTATGTAGAATAAGGTAGTTGGCAGTAGTGAACTAAACCCTGTGTGAAGTCATGGAGGGCTGTTTTCTTTTATCAGCATAGAGGTTTTTCAGAGCAGGGGATTTATGGTTGCTGAGTCTAGCAGAATTTACGGTTTGTTTCTTCATATCCCATGTAGCAACTCAGAGCAGAGACTGTGGAGTGGGACTTCTGTTTTCACAGAAGCTGCTAGGCTTCCTAGTCCCGCAGTGTGAATGCAGTGCTCATACAGATCAAGTGCAGCTGCTCAGGATGGGGAAGATCTAAAATACCTGGCCGTGTAATCTGCCTTGCAAGCGTCGTTTATCTTCCGTGCCCCAAGTTTCCTGATTGCATGTAGCCATTCAGAAATAAGTCCTTATTTGTAATTTTGTTTTCGTGTTGTATGCTGGAGGGAAACAGACAACAGCATCTGGATTCAAATGTACAGCTGCCATAAACGTCCTACCTATCTTGGCATTTACTCTTTCTTGACAGCATGTGTTGTTGTAAAGGTGGGCTGTTCTTCATCAGTTGTTTTTAACTCTGTCCACATCACAGAACTAGTGTATAGGGGTGGGGAGAAGGCGTCTGCTGGGTTAAGGATACTGAGTTAATTGCCACTAAAATTCCTAATGAAATTTCAGATTGGTCCCAAAAAGTTTCTAATCTACTAATCCTCTTAAATTTTGTGCTGAGGGTTGGTATGAGAAATATTTCAAAGAAGACAGAGGAAGCTGTGTGTAAGATCTAAAAGACTGCCTAAACATTTATTTTGTCATACTTTCCTTCCTGCAGGCATCAACATCCTTGTGAATTCCCGTCTATTCCAATACACCATGTGTGAGTAGCAGCAGCAAGCGATGCCCCCTTGATTGCATGGCTCAGGGGTGCTGTCTGTGCTAGGTTCTCCAAGGATGTGGCATGTGGGGCCTGGCTGTGGGCTGAGCTGCCATTCCTGTATGAATTCCGGAGTTTGGATGAAGAGGGATGGAATGTGTGCTTGTACCGACCATACTGCAGCTTGAATTTGCAGCTCTCATGGTGTTGAGTCTTCTGGAGAGGATCAGGTTTCACCGTTTCAAGATACACTCGTGATCTCACTGCGTAGGAGTTGGCTTGTTGCATTTAGATACGTTGGTGGTTAGCTTTCATAAGCCTTGAGGTTTTTATCTTACAACTGAAGTGTGCTGGATGAGGAACTGCCTTGCCAGTTGGCCTGTTTGCTTTTCAGAAGGTTCATGCACCATTGCCGCTGAAGAGATTGCTTGGGAACTGAACTGCCAGGGAGAATGATTCTCTGCTCCTCTTGAGGAGGAGTGCTTAATCATGGTGCTGCTTCTAGTGGCCTAAACAGTCTCTTCCTGCTCAGTAATTTGTTGGCTGTTTTTGAGCATCAAAGGGGAGAGATTTTTGTAAATTGAGATGCTAAACAAAAGGTAGGAGTAGGGGTGTGTGGAGATCTGAGTGAAAAGGTAAAATCCTGCACCTTCAGAGCCTAGGTTTGAATGGTGTGAAGCAGTGATAGAGCCAAGATGACTGGGGCCTAGCACTGCTTGGAGCACTTCCTCTGTCCTGTGCTGCTGGGGACACGGTGGTTCTCAAGATCTGGATGCAGAACTAAGATGAAGCTGAAACGTTCTGCCACGCCTGCTATACGTTCTGCTATACCTGTGTATAAAATAATCTTGGGAAAAAAAAGACTGAGTGTGATTCAGATCGCTGGTTTGGTTTGGTTTCTTTCCTTCTGGAGACAACAGTCTGAGTTTTGTGACTCTTCCAAGCTACAAAGTCAGTTAGTTGAATTGGAAATACTGTCCCTCCCACATGGCCTATATTGTAATCTTTTTGATAGCCTAGGAAGTAGTTATCCTGTGATCCAGGAGTGTTTTTGTAGTGGATTTTTACTTTGTTTTTCAGATACTGTGGTGGCTGTGAATGGAATTTGGATTCTTGTTGAAACCTTCATGCTGCAAGGTAGGAAACCTTGCAGCTCATTTCTTGGCTATGATGCTGGGTGATTGAATAAAGGGAGAGCTAGAAAAAGTTTTTCTTGTGTCTTGCAGGAGGGAATTTCTTCTCCAGAAATGTCCCATGGAGCTACATCGTCTTCCTCACAAGTAAGCTGATGCCTCCCGATGTGACTGTGTCATTAAATAATGAGTTGAGAATGGAGTAGTGAGGGAATAGACAGAGATTCCCAGAGAACACACTCACAGGATGCTGCAGAACAGAGGGGAAAGTAGATGATTCCTCTCTGAGATCTCTTTATGCAGGCCAAGCCTAGGCTACCCGTAGCATCCACGTGCTGGGTGTTTTATCATGGGATAAAAGGAAGTGCACAAGCAAAACTGAATTCTGGCACAACATTCTGGCCTTATGTATGGGAGCCTCAGCATTTATAGTGTGTTACCCAAGCTAACTGCTTTGTAGGCCACTCGTGTTGTTTTGGAGGGAAACTGTTGTCCTTTTCATCTCACCAAGAGTAAGGATGGCCATTAGGTGGCTGTGAAACCAGTGTTCAGCATTCCTCTGCTCAAAAGACTGCTCACCTGTGCAAAGTGCAAGCTTTTGTATAAGCCCTCCATATAATGCTGCTTATTTCTGTGCATGGCTCTCAAATTGTTTTACAGTCTATGGTGTGGAGCTGCTCCTGAAAACCACTGGACTGGGGCCCGTCGAGTACCTGTCCTCAGGCTGGAATCTGTGAGTGCACAGTAATGTTTTGAGAGGCGATATAAATTGCTGCATTAAAAAGACTGACTTCTAACAGGAAGCAAGTGCAGGCTTCTGCTTGTAGCCTTATGCATCCTGCTGGGGTGAAGCAGCACCAAGAGCCTCCTCTCTGCTGAAATACTAGGAACCTATCATTGCTCTTACTTTTGTTCTTTTTTTTCATTTCCAGCTTTGACTTCTCGGTCACCCTCTTTGCATTCCTGGGGCTCATGGCACTGGCATTCAACATGGAGCCGTTCTACTTCATTGTTGTCTTGCGACCTCTTCAGCTGCTGAGGTGAGACAGGGAGCACAAAGAACGGGTGGGGAGGAAAACGGCATGTTTTCCATCATTTCAGCTGGGGACTGAGCTCCTACCCAGGAGAGGGCAAGGATTGCTCTGTGGGTACGTGACCATGGCAAACGCAAATCATGTAGAGTAATGAGATTAGCCAGCGTTATCAAAATGAATGATAACAAAAACTTGGGATGGGATATGAAATCCCGTGCTTTGGAGCTTAAGCTGATCTCTAATAGAGATCAAGGGATTTACCGGGGGCAGATTATCCTATGTCTGCCTTCGTGGGGTTCTTACACCTCCTCTGAATCGTCTGATGCTGTTCAGAGAAAAGCTCCTCTGCCATGGTGAGACAGTCTGAGCCAATTTAATAATTTCCATTGAATTACCTGAAATTACAGTTTTCAAAGGATACTGCTTTCTGGGGTGAAGTACAACCCTGCTCTGGCTGCATTTCACCATAAGTGAGGCTGAGGCTTGTAACCTCTGCTGCTCACTAAAGTGGGTCTGATTAACCCTCTTGTTTTAAGGTCTGTTCAACATTGCAGGCCACTCAGAGAGTCGCAAAGTCATAGGTGGAAGGCATTTGAGAAGCAAAGTATTGCTTTGTTAAAGGCAAGTTAATGCAGTTTAGCCCTTCAGTGAGGATTTAAAGAACACTTTGATGCTCAAGTAGGAGGATGAAATGCTGTCCCTTGCCAAAGCCCATGTTTGGCAGCTTAGCTTCTCCGTAAAGGCTGATGGCATTGCCAAATTTGAAATTAGCAGGCATACTGTGGCTTCATCAGTTTTTTCTCAGTCACAGAGTAAACTCAGGAAAGTTTGCGTCTGGGAAAAGGAATATTGAGTCCTGACTCTGTACACAGGATTAGTTGAGACCTTTTTTTCCAAAATAATAACGATAATTTAAAAATCTTTGGATCGTGCTGCATAAGAAGATGTGGGCCTTTCCTTGAGAGTTGCTAATCCTGTAGGCACCTACCTGGATTTGTTGTAGACATTCAGGTGAAACAGCAGAATGTTATTCAGTAAGCAGATCACTAGAGATCACTAGAACAAGTAGAGATCCTGTGGATTTGGTGTCAGAAAACCTTCCCTGTTTGTTAACCTGGGAGGTTCAGAGAGCTGTGATATTCTTTTTAATATTCCCAACAGCTCTGGAGAAGTTGCAGTGCATAGGTAACTTCTGACATCTCCTTTCAGACTCTTTAAATTGAAGAAACGCTACAGGAATGTCCTGGACACGATGTTTGAGCTGTTCCCTAGGATGGCCAGGTACTGATTGACACTCTTAAACTGGAAAAAGAAAGGGTGAAGTTTAGTGTCTAGGGCTGTTGCTCTTTTTTTTTTTTTTTGGAGCAATTTGTGATGGGAAGCTATTCTGGGACACCCCCTGCTTCTATAAAGATAAGTAAGAGTTGGTGTTTTACTTTTCTGCCCCCTGACTCTGGTGAAAGGAGGCCCATTTGTGAGGAATATCGGCAGGAATGCGCTCAATCCCAGGTGTTTCCTTGTCCTTCACACAGACACTTCAGAGCATTACTGTGAAATGGGGGGGGGCAGAAGGAGCTTGGTGTTTGAGTGGGGCATCTTTGGATGTTATTTTCTTGGAGCAGATCTGGGCAGAGCATTTTAGGAAGAGAGCATTGTTCTTGGCACTGTCCCAGAATCGAGGATGTGGAGAGGGCAGAACCAGTGTGTTGGTTTTCTAATTAAACAAACTTCTCTCCACAGTTTTTCTAGCAGAAAAAATACAGACTGGGAGGAAATCCAGGCTGTTCTATAATTTCTTAGAACGCTTCTGCCTTGAGTGAGTGGAAAGTTCCTTGTCCAAAGACCTTCTGAATGAACGCACAAAGAACAGCAGGGCGATGCTGGCAAAGAGGGTGGTGTGTGGTTTTTCAGTTCCGCTTGCTATCCCTTGGAAATTCCTTCCACAGCAACCAGACTGTGACTTTGTATTTTCCCTGCCTTAATAACTTTTCAGTGTTATGGTATTTGTGGTTTTTGCCTCCAGCCTAGGTTTAACCCTGCTGATCTTCTACTATTGCTTTGCCATCGTTGGCATGGAATTCTTTGCTGGTGTGGTCTACCCGAACTGCTGCAAGTGAGTGCTGCAAATCCATCCCTGTCTGCAATGGGTTTGGTGCTAAGCTAGTAGTAATGCTTCTGGCAGCCCTGTCTTCCTAGGGGGAAGGGGCCCGAAAATGTGTCTGAGTGAGGCTTTGTAGCTAAGGCAATGTGCTGGGAAAATCTATGTGACATGCTTCACTTCTTGTGGTAAGATTGGATGAAATGGCTTTTACATTGCATTACATTTACATTGCATTTACATTGGAAAGGAAAGATCTGACTAGTTTTAATGAGATCTGTATTGCTCCTCATCTAGATGTACTGGGAGAACTTCTTTCTGCTATTGTAGTTTTGTAGGAATGCTTTTAATTTCTGCTGTAGAGCAAAGTTGAGATTTTCATTTCTGTTGCACTGGAGCTGCTCTGCCATATATTACATATTAGACCCAACTTTCTACATGATAAATTCACCTTGAATTCACCTCATCTTAGAAGCCAAGCTGTCCTGTGCCCTTTGTATCGTAAATGATGGCAGACCATGCAGAAATGCTAATCTTTGAAGATGTGAGCCAAGGAGACAAAAACATTCGGGTTCTCTGGTCTAGTGTTTGCTGAATGATTATTCAGACTCTCTGTGGTTTGTGCTAAGCTCTACTCTCTGTGGTTTGTGCTAAGCTCTGAGGGCTTAGCTAACAAGTGTTAGCCAAGAGATAGAAACTGCCACCCAGCTCACCACCTTCTAAGCTTCTGTGTTTGTAACCCTGAGATGTTGCTGCTCTCTTCTCATTCTTTGTCTTCTTCAACCAGCACAAGCACCGTGGCGGATTCGTACCGCTGGGTGAACCACACAGTTGGTAACAAGACAGTTGTGGAAGAAGGCTATTACTATCTCAACAACTTTGACAACATTTTGAACAGCTTTGGTAAGGACAGTTTATTCTAGCAAAGATTGTTCCCTGGTGCTTCTGCGTTCCTGCAGAGCTGGATAGCAGCACTGCAATGCTCGTGTAGACCTGGTACTCTCTGAGAGTTGTCCTAGCACACCTCCAACAGCATCCTTCTCTTCTGGACAATGTCAGCTGAGTAATAGCCTGCTTGCTTTGCAACAAAGTCAAGACACATCTCTTAAAAGCCAATGTGAAGCAAGCACATCTATTCTGACTGGTAAGCAGACCAGATTTCCAGAAATGTTTAAGGAGGGCTTCAGCTTACTGTCCTTCTGTAGAGCTAGCAGTAATGCTAATATATTTATTTAAACTGACTGATAAAGAATAATTTGAATATGGTGATTATTTTTAACAATTTTTCTTAATGCGTGAGCAGAGATATTTATCTCCTGGGAATTTCAGAGCTCTCCATACTCTGTTGGGAGAGGGTCAGGTCTGTTTCTGACTCTGAAGAAATACAGATTAAGCCATGTTCCTGTTTCTATGTGTCTACTCCCTTTTGTCATCAGTGGGAGGATGACAAATTGCAGTGATGAGGGCCTGCATTCTGTATCTGGAATTGCTGGCTGTGTTGAAGCTTGGTATCTTGCTTCAGTCTTCCCTGTCAAGTCCCTTATTTAGAAATCCTAGAGCAGGTCAGGTTGGATAAAGCAACTGTCTTTATTTTTTTCTTACTTGTATGCAGTTACACTGTTTGAGTTGACAGTCGTCAATGATTGGTACATAATCATGGTAAGTAAACCTCAGCTACAAACAGCACAGTCTCTTGCCAGTTGAGCTTGATCTTTCATGCCACCACTGCTTTCTTCCCCTTGCACTTGGAGATGGCAGGATTAGTCCCAACACTGTCACTTGCTGTGGTCATGCGATTGTTCCTTTTAATCCCCGGGTGATATTTGAGCTCTGTGACATGCCACCTGACATGATTTCTTCTTGAACTTGACCAGCCCTCAGGCTGAATTTTGCAATCTGGACAAGCGAAGTCACACTATATTCCAATTTATCACCCTGCTGTCCAGGCTGTATTCTTATAGTAGCAATGGTTCATACAGTCACAGGCCTTCAGTGTTCAGTGGTTTTGCATATAGGATAATCTCATTTTGCCTTTAGAGATGGATTACCTGCAAGACCCAGTTGGGGCACAGAGCATTGTGCAGGCAGCCTCTGGTGTTAGCTATGGAGCCACAAGTATGAGATAGATGGACGGAATTCATGCTGCCTTACTTCTGTTAGCAAGCAGTTATCAACAAGCTCTCCCTTCTTATGCATACTGGTGACTTTTTTTCCTGTCTTCTCTAGGAAGGGGTGACATCTGAAACCACTCACTGGAGCCGCCTGTATTTCATGATCTTCTATATTGTGACCATGGTAAGTTTCTGAAGATGCTTCCTGTATCAAATTGGGGCTGAGGGGAAGCAGCTTTTACCATATTACAGAGGGAGCTTCCATCCCTAAGTGAGCACAGCTTTGTTTCTCTGTGCAATGTCTTCCAGAAAAAGGTGTGAGCCCACATCACTTGCAGGAAGTTACATTTATGAGCATTGACAAAGTTGATACTGCACAACCTGGGCCTGGGGTAAAGCTGAGAGCAGCACAGCCTTTTTCTGGCCTGTCTGTGGTTTACCGTCATCAACTGACTTTCAGGCAGATGTGTGAATTGGGATGTGTCCATCTTGGAGCACCAGGAGCTGAAGCACAGACCAAAATGCTCAGCTTTCTGTTGTTGAATTGGACTGCAAGAATCCCCCAGCAGCAGCCTCCTGATCTCTTGTGTTCATGTCCTCTCCCAGGTGGTGATGACAATCATTGTGGCATTTATTCTGGAGGCTTTTGTCTTCCGCATGAACTACACTCGGAAGAACCAAGATTCAGAAGGTTAGAACTGAGGACTGGCTGACCCAAACATTGCATCTTTTCTCTGGTGTCTTATGTCTTAAGTTCTTTACGAAGAGAGTGGTGAGGTACTGGAACAGCGGCCCAGAGAGGCTGTGGATGCCCTGTCCCTGGAAATTTTCAAGGTCAGGTTGGATGGGGCCCTGGGCAGCCTGGTCTGGTATGAAATGTGGAGGTTGGTGGCCCTGCATGTGGCAGGGAGTTTGCAGATTCATGATGCTTGAGGTCCCTTCCAACCCAAACCATTCTATGATTCTATATTTATGTCTGGAGGAAATAATCAATTGACCAGCAAAGACCAGATTTTTTTTATTTTTATTTTTTTTTAAAGCCTGAATTCCTAAGCTCATTCTTATCTTTTTGTACATTTCTATCTGAGCTTTCTGTTCTGGCCATCACTTCTCCCTGCCCTGCATGCAGAACAAGGAACACTGCCTATCTAGTCCTCTTTGTCTCCCAGTTGTACTTAGACTGGTGACCATACGCTGGGTTTGGATGCACCTTTTTGTACCTTTTAAGAACAGGCTGTGACTGGTCTCTCCATCCTGTCGCACCTCTGTGAGTCATCGCTTCCTCACTGTCCTTTGTCCCCTGAGCTGTGCATCTGTAGCTTCAAGGCCTGCTAATTTAGGTACCATCAACGTATTAATTTCTTGAAGGCCCTCCCTGCTATTCTGAAGTGATTTACACCCAGACTTTTCAAACTTTGTGTAAACTAATCTTGATTCTTTACAATCTTCTGCAGAGAAGGTATAGTTACTGCACTTTGATATGCCAGAGGATCTTCCTTGCAGAAAGATGCAGTGAAGGCCCTGTCACAGGAATGGCTGCGATTAGCTCATCTGATCTTTCTTAGGTGCCAGAAGATCCAAATGTGTGGTGTCATGTCAGTAGGAGCCAGGCATTATTAGTTACAGAACCATTCCTCATCCTGATCCTTCAGGTACCCACTTTGAAGGGTGCAGTGAAAGGCATTAGTTAACATTTACTTCTCCAGCTGTGTTGGGCAGCTGAAGGCCAAGAGGCAGCAACCAGTGTTTGATTGTTTGTTTTGCTAGTTAGCTTGCAGGTGGCAGAAAAGCTACAAGGCTTTAACACATCAGGCTCCTTGGTATCTTAAAAGCTGAGACATGCTTGCTGACCCTACACACTAATTTTCTTTATCCCTCTTTTGTTGGAGAACAAGGACATATGTGTTCCAGTCAAAAAAGTAGATGTAGGCTGTTCCTGAATCCCGCGTGGGCCTGTTTGCTTTGCCTTCCAGGGTCATGGAAGCAACATTCATCTTGCTGACTTCTCTTCCTCTTTTTCTTGCCTTTCCAGAAGACAATGGCATTGTGCTGGAGAAGGAGATCTCCAAGGAGGAAGTGATTGGGATAATTGAGCTGTACAAGTGGAGTTCAGCTGCCACTGAAATTTCTCAGCTGCAGAAGATTGTTTTGCAGATGGACAAACACGGGGTAAGAGGAAACCCATAATGTAGGTTCTTGGCTTGAAGGGAGGAAGGCACACCAGGCCTGCAGGTACCTTTTTGCTGCCTTCCAAAGGAAATCCGTATGCATCTTTGTCATGTTTAGAGCTGAGCCACAAAGAGGAACTGTGTGGAAATAGCACAAAGTTGTTCTGCCCTGGAAAAGTAGCAGCTGAATGTCCTCTGTCCTCTATAGCCCTGACAAGGACTCGTTACAGCCTGCAGACTTCACATAGAGCTGTCCTGGCCCAGTACTGGCTGGAAAGAGGATATTTATCTTTCTGCAGAAAAACCAATCTTATTCTCCTGCCTCTCTTTCTGTGCCATCATACACTTAGGCTCAGACAGTCCTGAAGCATAATGCAACAATGTGTGCATATTGATCCAAACAGCAGCTTTCTGTTCTCTGCATCATTGCTTACCTTTTCACTCCAGGGCAGGATGGACAATTGGAAAGATGAGCTGACCTGGCTAACTGTTCTTATGACTGAGAACTGCTGGCTTTTGCATCTGAGAGGAGTTTAAATGTTTGTTTTAATAACGGCTATCGTATCTGTGTATCCTGTATGCAGAATGCCAGTGCTGCAGTCCCTTAGTGGATCTTTATTTACTTTGGTTGGCTTGGTAGTTAAATGTTGAGTTCTTGTTCACATAGAATAGATGATGCTACTTAGAAACAGATTTCAAGTCAGTTAACCAAAGGATGATGTCTTCAGCCTTGCAGTGGAGCACAGAGTGATGGTCTGGAGTTTCTTTGGTTCTCAGTGCTGTTCAGATGACTCATAGGCAGAGAGTAATTCATAACTCAACCCTCTGCTTATGTGATCTAAAAAGTCTAGGCTGGGGAGTAAGTGGTATGTGCTAAGCAAATGAGACCTGAAATTGTTCTAAGCTGAGATCTTCCTTTGGAAGGCTGGGTTTGAGCCTTGTTCCAGATGGTATGTTCTTCTGACAAAATTGAGTGCCCTTGACACAGCTGTGTCCATTTGAGCTGGTCTCCTGCAGCTCTTTGTAGCCTTCAGGGATCCCTCCAGCGAAATACATCTCAGCCTGGAGCAGATGCCTGCGTTTAGTCAGGTGATGTGTGCTCTAAAATACCACTGTCTCCTGGCAATGAGAACAGCCTAGGCTCTCCAGTGGGTGACACACCAAAGTTCCAGCACAGCTCTTGTGAGCTGCTCAGGGACTGATGAATGCCATCTTTTCATCTTCCCCCCATCTCCTTAGCAAGTGTCAACGCTGTTTCTGGGACGCAGATCAAGGACCAAGAGTGACTTGAGTATGAAGATGTATGAGGAGGAGATTCAGGTATGTGGGTCTAAGTTGGAAATACCAGTAAGCCTCTGTCATTAACAGAACACTTCATGTTGCCTGACATTTCTAAACGCAGGAGGCGTTCTCCCTCTGAAACACAGGCAGCTTTATGAAAGGAGCAGGCAGTAGAGGAACTGTGCTTTAGATTCATTAGTGCTGGTGTTCAGGGGCTTTCTTGAACATGTCAGAGCCTCCTCGGTGGGTTCAGGAGCCCAGCTGTGTTGATGATATGCATCAGCAGTGGCAGTAACAGTGCAGGCTGCATGTAGGTGCTCGGCTTGCCCAGCTTACCCATACTTGTGAGGGTGGGCATTGGTTGCTGGGCTAAGTGCACGGAGTGTTCCTGGGACTTGGCTGCATGATGCTAATTTGTTAAGGCACTGGAATGTGATTGTTTGAGCTTGGGTGTGTCTGTGCAACAGAAGCCAAGTGCTCTGCAAGTGCCAGTTGTTCCTTCACAATAGCAGGCTAATGAAGATGGGAAATGTTTAAATAGCTGATTCTCTGGATTGTTTAAGGCACTGCTGTTAAGTGTTCTTTGAGGTTAGGAGCCTTATGCCATGAATTTGGCTACTGTTGAAAGGTCATGGACTAGTATAATGATTAGCAATGAAGGCATTAATTTCATAACCATTAGAATATTTCCTTTGTCCCCTGGGCAGCTAGCTTGTGGATGAGTCTTCAGTCCTGCTAACAAAAATAAGCACACTAATTGTGGAGCTGGTAATCCGCAGTGAAGCTCCCTGCTTGTTGTGCTTGGTCTCTGACGCAGGGATGTAATGTCCTGTAATACCCTGGGTGCAACTCTGTAAGCCGCAGATGTCACTGGGATTCAATATGGCAGTCCCTGGGCACTGGGGGTCATTTGACTGTGATATTTCCTTGCTCTGGTTTGTCAGACCTGACAGCTCAGCTAGCTGGAGCTGACCTGTGGCTGCTCCTTCTTGCCCAGGCTGTAAATGCTGATATGTGAGCACACCCTTCGTGGCTTTGCTGAGGTTGATGAGGTTGTTTATGTGGGCCATAAACAGGGCCTTGGAAAAAGCCCCTCAGTTTGAGCACACATAGACTGGGGTCCTGCTGGTCCGTGTGGCAGCTTTGGAGCAGAGACTGATCTGTTCTGATCTTCTGTCACAGGAATGGTATGAGGAACATTCCAGGAAAGAGGAATCCCAGATACCTTTGCAAGAGTCTGCATCTGCTTCCCAGAGCTCTCTGAAACCCCTGAGCCTCCGACAACGTTCCCAGACCGTCATCTAGGCCTGGCTAGTGCAAGCTGCCTTCTATGCAATAACCTAGAGTATTACTTCACAGCATATATGTTGGGATGATGTATATAGATCTGTTCCATGTACTGGTTTGTGTTAGGGATAGAAGCTCTTCTGTTAAGTGCAAAAAAACAGGTGGACTCTGCTACAACCAGACTGAGCATGATGCTGTGCTCAGCACAGTGATCTTCTTGGACAGAAATGGAGACCTTCTTCCTCTGAGCTGCTTCCCAAGCTCAATCCTGCTGTTTGTCTTAGCAGTAACAGACCCTGGGGAAAGGGATGTGTAATCCATTAAGAGCAGGAAGTGTGCTGAGGCTACATGCTTACAATTTAAAAAAGAAAAAAAAAAAAAAGGCCCTTTTTGAAGGTCTGCTTCACTTAAAGGGTACTATTAACCTAGGAATAAAAGATCAGGGAAGGAGGTAGTTTTTGCTTCGTGTTTTGTTTTTTGTTGTTTTTTTTCCTCTCTGCCCTCCTTTTGCAAAGCAAGAGGAGGTGCTATGGAACTTCAGCATTAGTGGAGAGTAGCCTTTTCCCTCCTTCTTGGGACACCTGGATGCAGTCCCTGCAGTAGATTCAGTTCTGACTGTTGAATTTAACTGTCCCTGAGCCATTCTGTGGAAGCTGGTGAGCGGCAGAAATCTTATTGCATTATGACCATAGTGGGCACAGAAATGTAGGGAGACAAACTCTTTGCTGTGGCTGTGCAGTATCTGCATCTCTGCAGGTCAGTTATGCCCACGGCACTGCCTGGGATCAGAATCACTTCTGTAAACCCTTTAGCTCTCATCTTCCTAGGGAAGGGTGATTCTGCTGGGTGAGCTCCATCACTTAGCCACCTGCTTGTAGATGGCAAGACTTTGGCTGGTCATTAGTTCAAATAGGTGACTGGGAAGGAGAGGACTTTGCAGCTCCAAACCCTTATTTCTGCTTGGGGCTGAAACTTACAGAGAGTCCATCAAACAGTACTGCTTGTTGGCCCTCAGGTAGGTCATTGCTTTAACAGGAGGGTCAGTCAGCACAGCAGCATTCCTCCTCCCTTGTTCTCGCCCATGCAGAACTGTTCCTCAAGCTGGCAAGTGCTGACTGGGTCGGATCTTAGGAGAATCCTCTGCTGAAGGGCTTCACTGTTTACACAGTTCTGGATGCAGAACTGTAAAGGACGATGATTCTTCTCATCTGTCTGCTTTTCAGTGTCTGGCACGGAGGCTGCCAGAACCAGGTAGCTGGGAGAGGACGAGGGAGGGGAAAAAGGCTCCTTGGCCAGCTCTGACACGTAAACTCTGGGATTGTGGCAGGTTGCTTCATCTCTTGTGTTTCATTACTGCAAAGCGGTGACAGCCTGTCTCCGAGTTCCTTTCTTATCCTGTCACCACAGAAAGTGCTGAGAGTGAACATTGTCAGCGTGGAGGTTCACCGTACCTCTTGCTGTTTTATTTTTTTCTCAGGTTCAGATTACAGTGGATATGGCAGGGATGGGAGGCTTTCCCCTTCCTTTGGGTGAATGGGGTGGTGGGATGTAGGAAATGGGTGCACATCCCAAGTACATTTTTTGGAAAAGATGAGATTTTCAGAGGCAGGCAACATGATGTGTGCTCCTCAACTCTGAACAGCTGCGTTTGCTGGGTGCCTCAGGGCAGCTCTTTGTTTCCCTTCTGGGCTCTGCAAGTGGTATGAAAGTAATTCTGAGCTGAACCGTGAAGGACCTTAAAGGGCTATTTTCCAAACCATAAATTTGACCACAAGTTAATGAGCAGTGCAGCATTTGTCTTGCAGTTGCTCTGCGTGGGACTGCAGACTGGAAGACTTACCTGCGTTCATCCTGGGGCTGGGGGCGATGTTTCCCAAGTTATGGGCAGGGTGGGTGTTGTGAAGGTTAGAAAAAGAAATGTGGCTTTGTTTAAAGTCTGTGTCACCGTGGCAGGGCTGTCACTGACCTGTTCTGGAGCTGCAGCTTTACGCTGTGCTGCAGAGGCACTGACCTACTCACACGTGGGAGAAGGGCTCTGGTGTGGGGAGCAGCACTGAAGCCCCTGGACTGGGCTATGGGGCTCAAGTGCTGCTTTTTTCTTTTTTACACTAAGATGTGGGTTTGCCCCCATGTACACAATGTATTATTTTTTAAGCAAGGAAGATCACAGAAGTTTACTTTTTTTGGAAGGAAAAGAAGTAAGAAAAGAAGTTTGAGTATGGGGCCTCCCCGACTATTTACTCTTCCTCCCCACCTTACCCACAGACTAACGACAATCAGTTTGCAGGGAATGAAGGAGGAACACCAGGGGGTTTTGTATGCTGGTGTTTTGTTTATAAATATAATTTTATGGACATGTCTGTAAAATATTCTCTAGATTTTTCAAGCACACTAATAAAGAGCATTCTCAGCTTTGTAGAGGCAGCAGCTTGCTTTCTTCCTGCCCGCTGTTTCAGAAGCTCGGTTTCAGTTTACAGATTGCCACATCCTTTGGAAAGAAACTGTGCCCGCTCTCTCTCTCCAGTGGCAACTGCTTGCAGCGCTTGTCACATGCACAAACTCTTGCTCCTGGCCCTTGCCAGCTCACAGCCCAGCTTCTTTCTGTGCCCCTGCCAGTTTTTCTCTCTGTTACCACCTTACTCTCAAACGTGCGTTTTGTTTTTATAGCTACCTCCAAGGGACAGGAGGGGCTGCAGAAGCTGTTGCTCCTTCACCTCGGTATCTGTGCTGAGTGGTGCTTGTTGGAAGCTGGGGCTGGCTCTGGTAAATCCATGGCAAAACCAATAGCAGCCAGCAAACAGCACCTGAATTCTTGTGAAAGCACTTATCCAGCCAGAGAACAGAGGAATGATCTGGGCCCAGAAGGGAAGAGCAGCAGCCTAGGAGAGCCTGAAAGCTGACAGCAGCAGAGTGCTGCTTGTGCAACTGCCCTCTGTCCCCACAGAGCAGCACTGGGCTAACCACAGCAGTGCATGCCTGCATCAGGCCCAATGGCTGCAGTCAGTGCTGACCCGTGCACTGTGCTGCTGTGACAGCAGCTTCAGCTACATGTGACTGCTGTTGGGAAACGTGCAGGCAGTGACCCCAGAGGAAGCTGTGGCCTCAAGCGGCGCTGCATGGCCTCTGCCTCACCACGAGCAGCCCCCGGTCTTCCCTGCAGCCCAGCCCAGCACACCCTGCCTCACAGCAAACACACCAGTGGAAGCTGTGTAGTTTTTAATTGCAAGTTGTCCATTCTTACAGTATCTTAGCCTAGTTTTGCCAGAGGCGATCAGGCACATGGGAGCCTCTGCGTATCAAGTCCTTTGCTACAGCTCTGTGCACCCTCTGAGATTCAGGTTGAAAAATATTTTAAAAAAAAATATTTTTAAAAAAAAAAAAGCAGCAGGAGAAAGGAGGCTTCCATGGGCTCATTAACACTTTGTGTGCATTAAGCCTGAGAACTGCTCTGGTGCTTTGCCTCACCTGAACACCTCCGCTTGCTCTTTCAATTCACCCGCTGGCGGCTTGCTGCCCCTTGCAATGACAGGCATTCCCAGATTTGCACTCAAGCCTTTACTTTCCAGTTTCCCCATAGCGCATGGCTGCCAGCCCCAGAGGATCCCAGATGGAGAGGTGAAGGGGTGTCTTAGCGCACGCTCCCCTGCAGCTGCTCCAGCCCTATGCCCTGAGGCAGCAGCCAACCAAGCCTTTACCCTCATCCTTGTTCAGAGACGCCCCAAGTTAAACGAAGTTCAACAGAGCGGAGCGAGGAGATGGCTAGTGCTTAACAAATGCTCTTTCTTTCCCAAAACACAACCAGCTTTCTCTCCGGAGAGCAAATGTGTGGCCCAGCGGGCTGCAGCAGGGCAGGGACGTGGACATGCAGTGCTCAGGTGGGAACCAGGTGGATCACCTGGAATTCGGTGAGCAGGGCCACACAGAGAAAGGCCAAGTAGTAGAGGATGAGGCAGGTGCCGTATGCCCTGCCCAGCTGGAAGCACTGTGCCGGTACCACCACGAAGGAGAACACCAGGCTCAGTCCCAGGGCCCCAGCCAAGATCCACACCAGCAGGCTGTCAGGCTCCAGCTGATGGAGAGACAGAGGGATACCGTGTGACGAGGGGATCCCATCATTGCCAGCCCCGTACTGTGGCCAGCAGCCTCACCTTCACTGCCATCTGGCTGCTGGTCATCTGCAGCAGGCAGCCCAGCCCCACGCCCACCAGAATATCTGAGGGCAGTTCAGGGTGAAGAAACAGCACAGCATCCCCCCCAGCCCTCGGGATGGGGACAGCACCATCCCTCTCTCCTGGCCTGGATAAGGCCATCAAAGTTCAGAGTGCTCGAGGACAGGTGGCTCTGGCATGGTCTGGGGCACCCTGGGGAGGTGCAGCCTCTTCCCCTCCCTCCCTGTGGCAGACTCCAGGATGGATCCCGCGCAGCTCATGTCCCCTAGAAGCAGGCCCAAGTAGCACCCCACCCCCCAGCTCCTTGAAGGATACTGAAGATGATGCCTCCAAAGCAGGCAGAGAAGGCCATGCGGGGGTAGCCCTGCCGTGCCATGGTGAGGTCAGAGAAGGTGTCTGCAGGGCAAGAACAGGAGATGCCAGGGCCTGCATCCCACTGCGGTACAGTGTGCCACAAAGGCAGATAACACAGGGCTCTTACCTCCAATGCTGTTGCCCCAGGCCAGCAGGGTCAGGCCCAGCACAGTGTTACTAAGATCAAAGATGATGCCCAGGGTCCGCAGGATGTTCACCAGCTCTGTGGCTGCTGCATTGATCCACATAGCGCTGACCAGGAACCCAAGGAAGGCGAATACCTGACGGGACCAGGTGAGCTGGGCCCTGGCTGCACCTTCTCGGGGCAATGGAGGCACTGTTCTTGCCCACATGGTGCTTGAGGCCAGGGGCACCTTACACAGTGGTATTTGGGTGGCTCTTCATTGCGTGTGGTCACAAAGATGATGATGGCCAGGATGGAGCCAGCCAGTGCAACCAGCGCCCAGACCGGGAAGACGCCCTGGATCTGGTACAACCCATCTGCATCAGGGACAGAGAGGGCAACTGTGGCCCCACAGGCTGAGCAGGACCTCACCAGCCTGAAGGCACACTACCGAGCCCTGTTCCCTGAAGCCAGCACTCTCCTGCCCTGTTTCTCCCCCAAGACCTGGATAGAGGGGCCCCAAGGAGCTCAGTGCTGGGCCATGGCTCCCAGTCTCAGCCCCTCCTCAGGGCTATGAGGATACCACAGGCTCTTACAGGTCCCCGAATTGAGGGTGAGGATGCAGAGCAGGGGCCCAGTGATGATGTGCAGGCAGTTGAGGGGTCTCTTCCAGTTCAAGTCGTCCTTGTCGGGGTCCACCACAGGCACAGTGAGCAGCAGTACCAGCTCCACAGGGACCTGGGAGGAGGGGGCT